CCGGCCACGCCCGGCAGCATCGGCAGCCGTCGCATCCCAGCTGAAGCAGGCTGTGTCTCTGGGTCAGGACCTGACCGCCTACACCACCTATGAGGGCTACCCTGCGTTTGCTGTGGCGACGCGCAACGCTGACGGATACGGCGTTTTCTAGGACAGCGTCTCGAAAGAGGGAAAACACTTGTAGCAAAGGCTGCATTCACACTATCCTGCTTTTAAAATGCCAAGTCCTGGTTTAGTTCTTAAATCACAGTAGTGCAGATAAAAGGTGAAATCTGATTGATCACAGTGTGACCACAGGGTTGTGAGGACACTGAATGACGTGGGGTTACTTCCACAAAGCAAGAGCAGAATAGGGTGAATGCACCGCTGTGATGCTGACTGGGGACTGCTGCAGTTATTAAGGAGACTAATCCGCTGTGGAGTCGGGGCCAAAGTAAAAACTATATGGTACTGCAGAAGCGTTTTGAAATCTGCTGCTGGGAAATGTTTCAGACTTGTCAGTCGCCCTGAAACAAATTCTTCACCTTTTTCCTTCTTCACATTGTCTGTCTCTGTCTCTTGCCTATATTTGCTCTGAACTATCTGCATGTACATGTCTGTGATTGATTAAGTATCTGGGAGGCGGCCAGTGATTGGTTGTAGATCTGAATTCATGTTATTCAGTTAAGGTGTTTTTTTTCAGCAGTTCTTGGTTTGTTTCTAGAAGAATGTTTACAGTCCTCAAAAACCGAAACTGTAAAAATTATTTTATGCTTTTTTTGTAGCCCTGCCTTTTTATCGCTGAGATACCTGGGATTTATAGTTCTTCTGTGTGTCTTACCCTAGCTGTAGAATTTAGTCTGAAATGAAAAATATCTGTAAATTGTGTATAAGGTATCAAACTTAATGTCCCAACAAAAAAATCTGACAGTACTCCAGACATTTTAGGAGTCTGGGATTTTAACATGGAAACCATGTTTTGGTCGCTGAGGCCTTCTGGAGGTTTTAGCTCTATAAACTGTGAATAGTGTAAAATGGTTTTAAATCGTGTGCATGTGAAAGGAAACCAACACGTGAGACCGGTGCTTTGGGTTTTTATTTCATTCTTTCTATCTCCATACCAGATCTGCTTTACCTTACTAAAGAGAAGAAAGCTCATGTTCCCAGTCAGTCCTGTGAAAAGCTTTGTTGTGACTACCTGTAAATGTGACGGGGGGCCTGTGTACTACTGCTGTACTGCCATGCTAACAAACTCTACTCAGCATATATAAAACCAGCTGAGCATCGAGCTCCACAGTGGAACAGAAACATCTTCACTGTTACCTGTAGAGTGTAGGCTCATTTTTCTTTGCCATGTTTCAGTATTTTCATGTTCACACTGTGTCCTGTTTGCTCCACCTTCACTCAGATCAGCTGCCGTCCTAAAACCAACCTCGTCTCCATCAGACAACTCTCAAAAACCACAATTACATTCATTAACTTTATGTTTGCTCTCTACAGTATCTGCAAATGGCAACTCCAGAGTGGGAGAGTTTAGACCAAGATCACAGTTACAGTTGATAACTTATAGTTAGCACCAGGCAACCGAAACCTTTTATGGCCGTGTCTCTCAGTGGAGGTCACAAACAAGATGTAGAAATCTGGTTATGGATTTAACGAGGAATAAAATAAATGAGCCAGTGAAAATGAAGATTTGTTTCCTCGCTGAAACCATCTTCGGTTTACAGAGCATAAGAAATAAACTGCAGGTTCTTTTTAACTTCTGACTGAAACCACTGTTAAAATGATAATATTGGACCCTCTGGCTGACCTCCTGCGCTCCCTGGGTCTGTTGCCCTGATAATAAGGAACACACACCAGTAGCACAGGCCGCTCAGGCCAACTTCATATTCCATATGTTCGTTTCTGGGTATGTTTTTGAGTTGGCGGCATGCGCTGACATCCAAGCTGTGAACATGCCAAAGCAGAGACAGTATTAAAGTGTGTGAAGCACTTAGAACTTATTTTTATACCAGGAAAACAAAGTCATGACCAGACACTAGTTGTATAGAGTTATTTTGCATTCTTTTTGAATCCATAATTGATCTGGAAATAGACACAGTAAACTGAATTGATCTGTGATGAGCAGAGAGAATTGTGGGTATTGTGGAGGGTTTCACAAACTGCTGTAATGTTTCATGATTCATAATGTTCCTGAAATAAACTAACAGACATCTGAAGAAACAGCAGCCCTGTGTCTGCGTTACTTTACAGTGCCTACACTTTACGTTTATACATTTTCACTCGTGTTGTCTTTGGACAATACAGGTGCTTGACTTCACTCCCACTCATTTCCTTTCTTCAGACTCCTTTGACTGACTCACTCCTCTTTGTTACCAATGTTAGATTAAACTATATAGAGGCAAATGTTTTTACCTGAGAAGCTGTTCTGAGGGACATTACGTGGTTCTTGACAGTGAAACGACAGGACAGTGTAAAACTGGCACAGAGAAGTGCCTGCTCATTATGACAAGGTTCTGACACTGTAACCATCTGGAAAGGTTGAATATTGATAACAAGATTCACCAGTACACTCCTGGTCCTCTGTTGATTACCCCCCCACCCCCTTTCTTTTTTACATTTGTAAAAAATGTATTAGTTTATTTGGTTCAGTTGTATTTTTCTTTAATATGTACCGATTAGAGTTGGATACACCGACACTACACACTTTCACACACACAAACTACATTTAATAATCCCTTTGTCTCTTTTCTTAATGTCTGTTGTCTCATCTTCTCTGTTAAGTCCTTTGTCCTGTAAATGTGTTATTTCAAGTTGCAATAAAAAAAAAACTACTTCATAGATACTGCAGATGATCAGACTTGCCATCACCATTTTACTGTACCCTGTATGTACTCCGTACTTATAGAAATAGGTTTATAGTTTTATTCCACTGTACCTATATTTACATACCAGTAGGAGCCAGTAAGTATTTTAGTAGTACCCACTTTATACGATGAATTTAGTTAGTATGTTTGTTGTGTTAAAAAGTGTTACAGACAAAACACACTGGCCTTATGTAAACCTGTGGAGTGGAGTACAGAACATACTGTGACAGGTCAGTTCTCTAGCAGCTGTGAGTGGTGATGAAGTTATGTTAAAATTCCTCTATCAGAGCCCAAACCACTGCACAGGCATAGTGTCAGGAGGTGCACAGTCAGGAGGCAATGCTGCAACCGCGTGTTCTGGATACAAAACAACGGATGCACTGTTCTGTTTAGTCAGGAAATGAACTCGTGTTATTTAAAAAGAACAAGACCAACTGAAGCAAACATTCAGATAATCACACTCAGCTGCCTGGGTGCATAAAAAAGCCTGGGTGGATAAGAGCGGTGAAGCTGTGAAGTCTGTCAGACTGAAGGAGAAGCAACACTTTCCTCACTTCCCACAGGTGAGCCTCCAACCTGGCAACCCTCACACAGGGCTTTTGGGATGTCTGGCTGTCCTTGTGACTGAGTAAGAACTGTGCTCATGTTTGTGAATCCACTGTGTTACAACCAAGAGCACAGAGTTTTAGTTACATTTAAAATCTGCATGTCAACTGTAACAGGTGGGACTGTTCTATGGACTTACTGATAAACTGTTGTAATCAAGTGTTTTTCCCTGAACTGAGTCTGTAAGGCAGCATCAGGGTGCGCAGTCCTGCCAACAGGCTCCACGAACCAAATGGCTGATGGCCAGTATTAAATTATAGAGCAGAAGAGTATCAGTGAATAGATCTGTGTGTGTCACATGCAAAGGTACTTTGAACTGGAGGACAGCAATAAAGTACGGGCTGTGACAGTGTCTGGGACTGAAAACAGTCACATACACTGACACTTTCACTAAGTGTTTATGTAGAAACCACTGAATCTTTACTTGAAATGCAGTCAGTCCCCTCATGAATTAAATATTGGGTCAAGTTTAAATGTAAATGCAATGTTTAGCTTATGAGATATTACATTTATTATAGGGTGAAATGGCTGTTTATTGTTTAGTTTCATATATATATTAGAATTTTTTTATTGAAATTTTTTATATTTTCTCATTTTGTCTGTCAGCATTTTTAATTTAAATTGACAAATTATTGTTTAGAAATCATTGTTGATAACAAACATTCTAGATAGACTGTACTGTTAAAAAGTAAATATTGAGGTTGTTCTTTCTAAGTTTATATCCTGGGAAAATAATGATGTATTCCCACAAAACGATACTTTAAACCCCACTGAAAAACCTTGAGCCACAGTAAACTGAGTAGCTGGTGTTGGGATTGTTTCTAATGCAGTTTTGAGGGGAAGTAATTACTGTCACTGCTGAGCTCAGTGTAGTTTTATGGGGAGTGACCAGGTCAGGACCCGGACCACTGGTCCACTCTAAATATTCCGCAGCCACATAATGATCTGGCCCATGTGAGGCTCCAGACTGAAGGATTTTTCTTGTGTTTTCAGAGCATCGAGCAAATCCACATCAGCAGAACTCTGATAATGACGGTAAGTTTGTCAGCTGATATTTTACAAAGACTGTGAAAAGGCTTGTGACATTAGCAGCTGAATGGCTGCCCCAGGGACGCTGCACAGATTGTTCCCACACCACCATGAAATTAGAGGCCAGAGGTTTAAACTGTGTAAGATTTAGACCTCACTCTAAGTCAAGACCACAACTTCACCTGTGTTCCAGCTGATAACAGCCATCCTCCTCCTGGCTCCACTGCTGACCAGCTGCAAAGGGTTTTCCCAGCCGGTAGACTGCAGCGACCTCCGTCTACAAGACAAGAACCTGCAGAGTGGGGTGTACACCATCTATCCCCTTGGAGAGAGGTCTGCTGTGCAGGTACACTCCATCCTGTCTGGGACACAGGGTGACATTTATTCCAGCAGCAAACTACAGGGCACTGTTGCATGTTGAGCCAGTGACTGGGTCAGATTGTAGAATCATAAATTCTTACCACCACTTCTGACGGAGCCAGACCAGTCAGTCAGGGACTGACTGCACTGTTCCACCTGACAGCAGCAGGGAGTCTCAGACCATCATGACAAAGAATAAAGCCTTGTTCATATGACTGGTGAAAGAAGCTGGTGCTCAGCTGCTGACTGGTATCTTAGTGCAGCTAGCTGCATACTTTGGCACTGCAAGAAAAAGCAGAGAATAAAACTGTCAGTGAACCACACAGGGATGCTTCACAGCAGAAGGGTGAGTATATTTAGTTAAAAATACTAATGACTGTTTGTGTGCAGGTGTACTGTGACATGGATTCAGTAGGAGGAGGGTGGACGGTGAGTGCTTTAACCAAAGTCAGCTCCATCAAGTTTTAGCCAGTGCTTTTCCCACTTCCTGTTGGGCTGTCACAATAAATCACACACCAGTAAAAAGCTTGCCGTCAGATATGTTACTTACCTGGTTAAACCCCCACCCTGCCTTCCAGGTGTTCCAGAGGAGGATGGACGGCTCGGTGAACTTCTACAGGCCTTGGGATCACTACAAGTTTGGCTTTGGTAACGCTGCAGGAGAGCACTGGCTCGGTGAGGAGTGATGCCAAACTAACAGTCATGTGACTCGTGACACACTGTCCATTAAGTACTAACATTAAAACTAATTAAATTTTGTGACATAAGTCTTAGATCAGTTACTTCTCTTTAAATGTCAAAGTGTTTTAGTGAAATATCCACAGGTCTGTAGAAAATGTGAAAAGGGTTTAGCACATTTATGAATGTGTGTGTGTGTGTGTGTGTGTGTGTGTGTGTGTGTGTGCTTCCAGGGCTTGACAACATCTACTACCTGACACACCAGCGGAAACATGAGCTGCTGATCGACATGAAGGACTTTGAAGGAAATAAAGTGTTTGCTCGGTACTCATCATTCTCCATCGATGGAGAATGTGAGGGATACAAACTCCATGTAGCTGGATTCACAGATGGAGGAGCGGGTGAGTTATATGTTTATACTATGCAGGCACTCAGGGTATAGGTACAGGGTCCTACCACACCTCATTTGGCGCACGTTTCCTGACTGAAGTGCTAGCTGCCCTGTTCATGCAGTAGGAACACCATAAACCATGACAAATCTCAGACGGGAGGCTCACGAGGTGGCCCCACTGTGTGTTCAATCCACACCACGGCTGCAGCCAGCCTGCCTTCTTCCTTGTACGACTGCCAGACTAGATCCACAGCCCAGTGAGAGAGCCTGACCTTGGTGACTGGTTAGGTATTAGGGGTTAGGATGCCCAGCTTGGGTGGAGCACCACCGCAGCAGGAAGCAGCATGTAACAACAGGGCATAGAGCTTTTCTTATTCTTTTAGCCAAGACAATGGCCAACATGAGTGCACTTGAAAGGCTGCCCTGGTGCCCAGAGACCTATGAATCCAGAACACTGATACCCCTACCTTCATGGAGGGCATCTGTCATGTAGAAGTGCAGACACACAAGAGGTGGACTGGTTGGCAGAAGGAGTTGGTCAGTTAATTGTGAACGGTGAGCGAAAACGAGGCTTAGTTAGAGTCCGGGCATACAAGATCATGTACATGAGATGAGGTCACATCAGAGCCCCAGGCTGGGTCAACAGGAAGAAAAAGCAAGTCCAAGGGGAGCAGGTAAAAGACAGAGTCTAAGCACAGGTAAGTAAATCCAAACATGAGGAACAATGACTCGGAGGCTAAGGCACTAGGGCACATCAGAAGAGAGCTGATTAGGGAGGTGGACACAGGTGTAGTGTGTGTGAGAGTCAAGATGGGACAAGGAGGAAATGAGAAGCAGGTGTGCAGGAGAGAGTCAGAGCCACAGTCTGGGAACAGCTGGAAAGGGAACAATAAATCACAGAGCCAGGAAAATACAGGGCAGAGACTAGAACTGTGACACAGTGGAGTATAGGTGATTAATGATGAGTTCACACGTCTGCACCATTGCTGGCACGTTTAGTCCATCTGACAGACTGCGGGTTGTGAAATGTTTGGAAGATATTTCTGAGTAATGCAGATTCAAAAACACTATGGTTGTTTTGTGTCTACAGGAGATGCCCTGAGTGGTCACACGGGGTTCAAGTTCTCCACCTTCGACAAAGACCAGGACACTGCAGCGTCCAACTGTGCCAAGTCACACCTAGGAGCTTTCTGGTACAGTCAGTGCCATTCTGCAAACCCCAATGGGGTTTATCGCTGGGGGCCTGACGGCACTCTCTTTGCTATTGGAGTTTCTTGGTACTCGTGGAAGGGCCATGACTACTCCCTGAAGAGCATCAGCATGAAGATGCGTCCTGTGCAGTGAATCTACAGGACCAACACAGCACAACATCAGAGGGTGGGGTCATGCTCTTGTGATTTCTCTCAATCATTTAATCTCACTGTAGCTGCACTGGTTTAGTTCTAGTTTTAAGGATCGCCACGCTTCGTACGGATGTCTTCAGAAAGTTTTATTTTTCTCTCTCCGTTTCCTCAGCCACTGTGAAAACTACAGACAAAGTAACGATAAAGAATCTTAAATATATACAAATAGAGGCACATGAACAACATTAAGCACAAATACAACATATGTACACCTCACCGTTTGCGCCTCTAAAACCATGTGCAAAAAATAACTTTAGGCTGTATGTCTCTTCTCTGTCCATGTTGTATCTGTCCCATAATGCCACATTGGTGCCCTCACTCAACTCCAGTCACATGATTGGCACATACTGCCCTTCAAAATAAACCTTTTTACCAACAAAAGTAATACATTTCTCAGATCTTCTCATCTCTGCTAACACTTAACATCCCATTCATGACATTTCAACCAATTCCTCAATAGTAATAATAACTCATTATTAATAACAAACAAACCCACTTCTCAAATGAAAGCTGTCATTTGGACAGTTACACTCACAGTGGGCCTTATCTCACTGAAACTAGGCAGACGCACAGGAAAAACAGCTGTATTCTTCAAGCATCAAAGCACAAACGCGTAACATCCCAAATATTAAGACGTGACCCAAATCAGCTGTCAGTGGCAGATAGGTCTTTCCAGGTCAGTTCTTGTTTCAGTCAACTTCTGTCCATTCTTAATGATAGACCTGCCTCTGCAAGTTAGGAACAAATAAAATGTATTTATATTTCACTGACTTTATCCTGCTACTGCACCATGACTGCAAGTATTTAACCAGCTGAGAGGAAAAGATGCTCGGGGCGACGGTGGTGCGGTGGGTAGAGCAGTCGTCTCCCAACCGGAAGGTTGAAGGTTTGAATCTCGGTGCCTGCAGTCCACACGTTGAAGTGTCCTTGGGCAAGACACTGAACCCCCAAGTTGCCCGTGGTGGCAGCGCGTACACACGCAGCAGCCTGGGCCTCTCAACAAACAAAATTTTGTTGTATGTGTCACAATGCCAATAAAATAATGCTTCTTCTCAGTAACATGTAAAATTTGAATATGGAATTTTCCAGCATTTTAATTGCTTAACATACCTCAGAGGTGTTTATGTGATTAATAAGAGGAGAGTTGTGGGTGCCCATGGATTTGCAATAAGAAGTGGTCTGAGCCAATAAACTGCACTGCCCTGTCTGACCTGAACAGCTGCAGCACTGCACCTACTTCTGTGCAAAAAAAAGTAAGATAATCACAAATAGAAAATTACATTACATTAAATAGAAACACACGTATTGTCGCTTCAGTCAACATGAACACAAAATCTTCGCAGTTCGGGACAGCCAGGTGACAAAAAGGACAGCACTAGATCACATTTCCAATTTTGCTTTACAGTGTATGTTTTTATTTTTTAAGGCTGATGTGAATCATTATTTGGTGACAATAAATGAAGCCGAGCAGAAAGCTAAAGTGTGCCTTCACTTTGTTTCCTGTGTCTGTCTGGATTCTGATGATGGAAGATGTGCTAGTGATGGACAGACGTGAAATCAGTTAGAGCACACATGCCTGGCCTCACACATCAGGCTGCTACTCTCCTCATTACATGTTTCCTCTCCAACTTTACCTCCTCATCAGCTCAGTATCTCCTCTCACAGGCTGTGCTGTCACCTGTAGACAGAATTCAGGGGTTAAAACATGTCAAGGCCAAGGCACTTAACAGCAAGCTGTTTTTATGTAAAGTCTGTTAGGGAACGCTCAAACATGATTAGGACCCAGAATGCAGACCAAGGCTAGAGTGGTGTTCAGAAAGTCTTTATTCAAGAATAGAGTGCAACAAACCAAAGTGTAACTGCGGTGCCGGGAGCACTCAGGGGAGTCAGACAGGCAGGAGAGAACTTGGTGGAGCTGCAGGGCCAAGGACACACTGGTGGGTCGGCATGGCACTGGTGAGATCAGGGCACAGGAGGCTACAGGTAAGTGGAGCAGATTGGAGATGGGCTGGTGCAGCTGGAGGTCTGGGAACAGCAAGGAAGGAATTAACACCATGACCTCCACAGGTGGATGTCACATTTTATTAACATGGTTCGTGGCACATAAACACAATGCGTTGCATACCCTAGACCCACGCTCGTCAGTGCCTGGTGTGGATCCAATGAGGGAGGGCCTGCTCTTAAAGAGCCCAACACATTTAAAGTGCAGCACCTTAGAATGCACAAACCACAATTTATTTCTGAACGGATCATTTATCACAATGATTTATAGGTACTTAGTGCAACAGCGTGGATCAGGAACAACAGCAGATTGTGCTGGACAAGAGCCTCATCGGCGCCACTGGTGTTTTAGGTACTGGCAGCAGGTAATGCAGGCAGAAGACACGCCAGCGCCACTACGAATTCATGAACCCACAGGAAAGGACACGAAGGTAAAAGTATGGATAGTGATGTTCCCTCTGATACCGAGGCTCCGAAGCTTGCTTCAAACTCGGAAGGATATTTTTCTGAAGCACTGTGCCGGAGCTTGCCTCAACTCAAGAAAAACCACGTGATTGATGACGTTCGAATCATTTCTGCTTCATTCAGATTGAATCAGCTGACTGGTTTGGTTCGATAGCTGGAGCTTTGAAATGTTGGAGCGATACAGATGTATTTAAGATGGATGAAACAGTGCTCTGTCCTACGTCTTGTCAACACATTTTGGATTGACTCGCTATGGAGCCATCATGGAAACGGTCACAAGTGTGGGAACATTTTGAATTGGTGCCACTGAATAAGATAAATTATATTCCCAAGATTCAAGCCTTATTGTCAAGTCTGTTATTAATACAATGGATGGCCAGGTTTACGGTCCCCTCCGAATAAACACAGGAAGAATAAATCACACACTGATCTCACTGTGACTTCATAGGCTGCCTTAATCCAAAATCAACATCAACACCGGCACAGCCAGAGCCTGCTGTCAATTCCTGTTAATGCTACCGGGATGACGTGTCCGTCCGCTAAGTGTGTGTGTGTGAGATGTGTGTACGCAGTCAGTGACAGAGCCGCTCTGTCACACAACTTAAACACGTTTATACTTATAACACTTGGCTTTCACAATCCAGCCAATGCTGATGCAGCTGTGCGCCGCTTGAAGTCCGAGTGTGCTGCCTTAATCCAAAACGCACCTCATGACGACGTACCATCAACATCGGCACAGCCAGAACCTGCTGCGGCTTCCACGGCTACACCCTTAATCACATTTGTAGTTATATATTTATTTGTATGTAATTAAATGCTTTATAAATGTCCTGTAATGTTTTATTTTCAGGCACTGACCTGTGGAAGCTTCTTGACAAAGATGCAGAAGAAGACAGAAAATCTCAGAACGCTACTGCAGATTTCATTGTGGAGGTTCAGCAATATCTGTCTGCTCCTCCTCTGGACAGATCAAAGGACCCCTTAGGTTACTGGTCCCTATCGCTTTTGCATTTGTACAGCCATATGTTATGACATTGTCAGCAAGATCCAGCATGTCAGTAAACTGTCACCCTCCACGCAGCTTGATGTGGCTGTCGACTTGCTGAAGAAAACCAAAGATTCCCTCACCAGCTACAGAAACACTGGATTTTCTGATGCACAGACAATTGCAAAGAAGATGTGTGAAGAGATGAATGTGGAGGCTGAACTCAAACAAAAGCGTTTGAGAACCACAAAAAGGCACTTTGGCTATGAGTCTCCAGATGAGCCCATACAAGATGCACTACGAAAAATGGAAACCACATTTTTTAATGTGGTCGTGGATACTGCCATCTCTTCACTTGATGAGAGATTTCAGAATCTTGGAGAGGTGAATAACACGTTTGGTGTGCTCCTCGATTTCCCCAACTTAGAAGAAGAGGACCTGCTACAGAAGTGTCAAACCCTAAGTACTGCTCTGACCCATGACAGCCAGCCGGACATTGATGGCACAGAACTTGCAAAGGAAATGAAGAATTTCCCACCATTGCCATCAAACAATATGACAAACATGGAACTGTTGACCTTCCTGCATGAGAAGAAACTGGCAGAAATTTACCCCAACATGTGAGTTGCTTTGAGAATCTCTGCCACTCTTCCTGTTACAGCGGCTGCTGCTGAAAGAAGCTTCTCTAAGCTCAAACTGATTAAAACTTACCTGAGATCTACTATGATGCAAGAACATGCCATTATAAGCATAAACCATGTGGTCTCAAATCAATTGCCATATGATGATGTTGTAGATGACTTTGCTGCAAGAAAAACCAGGAGAGTAAAGCTGTAGCAGGTTATGTGAGATTGAGGAGGTGATGGTGTAGTTTTTAAGTTACGGCAGTACCAAAAACACCACTAGAGGTCTTTGTAAGATCATCTTTTTATTTTTATTTAAATCCTTGTATTTTTTTGTGCCTACTCGTTTCTTTAATATCTTATTTTGCACAGTGCCGTATTTATATTGTATTTTTAAGTTAATGTCACTTGTTTACACTTTTTATTTTGGGAGTATTAATAGGTACTTTATGTAAGCTATTTATATTGTATTTCATATGTTCAGTTCATTTTTTTGTATTTGTTTCTTTAATTCTTTCTAAGTATTTTGAATGTGCAATTGCTTTATTTAAATAAAAGAATGTCCAAGACAAAGCTATTACGTTTCTTATGAGTATATACACTAGCAGTGGAATTTAGTGTGATGCAACAGGGCGCCACCTGAAATCTTGCCTAGGGCGCCAAATTGGTTAGGGCCGGGCCTGCGGAAGGTGATGAGCAGCAGGTGACAACAATGCACTGGGGTAAAACCTGGGACAGGTGAGGTGACGCGGGGCAGGAAGTAACCAAACTAAAAGCAGTCATCACCGGAAGCGGAGCTAAACCATAACACAGTCAAAGTTAATGCATTAACAAACAAAGAACTCTGAGATAAGCAATAGAAAACCATTAGCTGAATGGTTCATTGTTTGGGAAATGGTTGTTAAACATTATATAAGACCTGACTAAAGTTAAAGTATCAGGTCTCAGTTGTGTTAGTCGTGTTGGCGCGCGCACGCACACACACACACACAGTTCGCTGCGTCTGTAAACCAAGCAACAGGAGACAGTCTCCTTAGAAGGTCCTCACATACAGACTTAAATGGGTGCGTGTTCTCCCCTCTTCGCCCCGCAGGAGGCAGCATTGTGCAGAGGAATCAGTCCTTTATCCCGAGCGTTGACCTCAGCTCCGTGCTGCAGCTGATGCTCCGCCACCTCCAGGTTATTATAACCAGCTGCAACACACACGCACATACCCATAACTCGCAGTTCACACTGTGACGTCTGTCTGTGCCATTTTAAGGTTCACGTTTAAAAACGGTTTCATCTCCCCCAAGAAATAGACAGTAAACGTCACAGGGTGTGTGTTGACGTACCAGCCAGGTGTAGCGGTGTCGACTATCTCCCTTGTGTGTCTCTGCAGTTGACGTTGTGTGTGCAGAGCCTCTTCACTCGGACCAGGAAGCCCTTCTTGGTGGCATCCAGCAGGGCAGCGTCACCCCGTAGCATCAGGTCCTGGATGAAGCAGGAAAAAAAGGTTTTGATAGCCTCTACCCATGGATGTAGAGGCAGGTAGGACTGGATCACTGTGAGACGGAAGACAACTGAAAAACATTTGGATTTTCAGGCCGGCTGTGCAGCTTCGATTCCCGCTGAAGTCTAAGAGGGTTTATGGAGGTTTCTTCTGGATGGAAGTCACTGAATCATTTGTTTCTCTTGTCTGTGCTCATATTTCACTGAGTTAGGACTCTGAGAAGGAGGACCACTTTTGGATGAGTCTGCTTTGTGTCAATAAAGACTGAGTTTTCACTGCACCGTGATAATAACAGTTTGTAATATAATGTACATTAGTGCAAGTGAAGCAGATGCTTCTTGTTGATGTAACTATTTGTTTTAATTCAATTCAGTTGTATTTGTATAGCGCGACCTCACAACTACAATCATCCCAGGACACTTTACAAAGTCAGGAATAGACCTTACTGTTATTATAGAGAAAGCCCAACAAACCCCCCTGAGCAGCACTTGGTGACAGCGGGGAGGAAAAACTCCCTTTTAAGGGAAGAAACCTCAGACAGACCCAGTCTCTTGGTGGGCAGCCTTCTGTCTCGACCGGTTGGGGTGAGTGGAAAGAGGAGAGAGAAAAGAAGAAAAGCAACAGGACACAACAAACAAAACAACAAACAATCAAACACTGGGCAGGTTGATGTGGCCGGTGACTGCTCATCAGAAACATAGAGCTCCAGAGCCAGGGGAACCTGTAGAAAGGTACAGGGAGAGAGAGAGAGGGGACACACTACAATAGAGAGAGAGGACACACTACGGGACAGAGAGAGGACACAGTTAGTGAGGCGTGAAGGTGGCGTATCCATGTTATTGTGTAAGCAGAACTTTCCGTCCCCATCAGGGCGACTGGGTCTGTTTACACCCAACTGTGCCCTGGTGCTTTGAACACTGTTCAGATCTCGGTCATTTTATTTGTTAAAAACCTTTTTATTTGTCCGCGTGCAGCGACCAGCTGAGGCTTTTCACCGATCAATACATCTGGTTATTAATCAGTAGACCAACTCCCACAGCACGCTGAGTCATGTCCCATTGACCCCGAGCTGTACCACAAAGTGCAGATTGTGTACACAAAGTTTGAAATGACAAAAATCGGACGGACAGTAAAGCTGATGAAGTCACCCCCGGTGCCCCGCTACCGCCCCACCGGCCGGCTGGTGACGTCATTGGGTAGTTTTAAGGAGGCTCCTGCCTGTGCGTGCCAGTGTGTCTGTGTTTGTGTGTGTGCGCGTGTCAGCATGAGGAGCGCGAGGACGCTGTTCCAGCTCGCGGCGACTGCTTCCAGACGGAGCCTTCATCATCATCCTCCTCCTCCTCCTCCTCTTCCTCCGGTGCGGTCCGCGGGGATCGTAGGGGCACCTTTCTCCAAGGGACAGGTGAGTGCACCGTTCACTGTGTGTGTGTCCGTCCCGGTTGTAACTCTCGCTTTGTTTCTGCTGCAGCCCAAAGGTGGAGTGGAGACCGGACCGGACCGGATCCGAGCCGCAGGACTGCTGCACAGACTGAAGGAGCAAGGTGAGTCCTGGTCCCAGTGTGTGTTCATAATGCAAAGCTCCCAGCGTGTTCCAGACCAGAGAGACCTTTGTAAATGGGGTAACAACAAGGTGTCAGTGGTCAGTTTACTAGGAACACCCAGTTAAAAGTACCGTCATGAAGGTAATGTGTAATTGTATTGCGTTGTACACACTTGTCAGTATAATGCAGCTGTGCTGGAACAAGATATCAGATCCTTTACTTCAAAAGTAAAAATACCACTGTAAACTCTAAGTAAAAGTCCAGCATTCAAAGTTTTACATAGACTAAGTAAAAATGCAAAACCATCAAATATACTTCAAGTAGCAAAAGTAAAAGTCATCATTATGCAGAATGGCACGTTTCATTGTGTTGGATGTTGCAGCTGATGTTACTGACTGTATTTGCTGCTGAAGAGTTTGTGAAAAACTCTTATCTTGTCCTTTAATATGCAATAATGTATTCGATTATGGTTTGTATAGTAACTGCAGCTGTCAGACAAATACAGTGGAGTAGTGTTTCCCTCTGAAATGTAAAGTTAAATATGAGGTAGAAGAAAATGGAAATACTTTAAAGTACAACAATCTCAAAAATTTACTTAAATACTACAGTAAATGTACTTAGTTACTTTCCACCACTGCCAGTAGCCAGTTACCCCTGCCTGCTCCTGAGGCTTGGGATCTAACTTTATTGATAGAAAATAGATTCTTTGTGTCACTCAGTGCACTGGACATTTAGGAGAAGAGGCTGACACGAGTTTTTCATGAACCGTCAGTGGTTAATGAAGCTGAGGGCACAAAGTGGAGCCAGGTGATGATACAATGACTCTGGGACACGACCGCCTGCACTGAGCAAGATTAGACCGGTGTGATTAGAGTCATGCTGCACACACATTGATTTAATTGTGGAACAGCAAACAGGAGGTGTTGACCTGGATCCACCATCAACACACACACACAGAAATAGATTTCTGTGTGTGTTTGCATGTCTGACTAAAAAATAAACTCCTTCAGGAGAAACTTCGTTTTATATGAAGGGTCAGGTTTAGGTTCAGTTCACTTCCTGCTACAGGTGAAAAGTTGCACCTGTGGCCACACCCATCTGTGATGTCACACCTGAGTACACCTGTATACCACTATGTTTAGCTACCAGTATCTTTTTCTGACTGATGACGTTACTGTGTGTGTGATAATCCAGGATAATATTCTAAACACCGAGTTCAGGCAACTTTACAGCCCTGACTAAAGTCTTGCAGGTCTTCCATTCACTTTAGGTCTGAGTATGCTTGACCCCAAAGTCGGGTTTATTTTGATCAGTGTGAACACAAGTGTACCAGACTCAGGCATGAAGAAGTGGTCTCAAGCACAACTCATGTGTACTCGAGTATGGTCCAAAGGGGAACATAATCATGCTCGAACCAGGAAGTGGGCCACTATATGGCATCATAACTATTTGAGTCTGTCGGTTAAAAGGATAAACATGGCTGTGAAAAGATCTGTGGAGTAACGAAGTAAAATGCTTGAAATCGGGGCTGACAAAAACATACAGACAACTGGATACTACACACAAAAATGAAGTGTTCATTAGTATTTACATGTGAGTGGAACAGAAACAAATGTCGCCCAGTTGGTGTTGCGAGTGGCTGCTGCTGCTTCTTGGCGGACTGCAAACCCATGATGTGCACACTGCCACCTACTGTGTCAGACTGTACGTACACAAGTGTGCTGGGGCACGGAACAGTGCCACTGATGTGAAAGCAGACCTGCAGGGGAGAGGCGAGCAATTGTGCCTAATGTGAAAAGGCCCTTAAGCCGTGTCTACACTGCATGTGTTTCAGCTCTGTCTTTGAGATGTGTGTCATGCAACCAGCGTGCTCCTATCTTAATCAGTCCAGCTACCTACACTGCCCACTTGTCAGCTCACATATCACTCACCCTTTACACCGAAGGGTAACCTTTGTATAAATATGCTAAAGGTCAAAATTTTTTTTTTTTTTTTTTTTTTAAAAAAAGACTTTGGTTGGATCAGTTTGGTTTTGCATAATTCACCAGAACAATGAAAGCTCATTGCTTTCAACCAGAACTCCTCCAAAATAGAGAAATGCATCAAGCAAAAAATAGTTCAAACACATGATCATGCTATGCTTTCGGTGTAGACACAGCTTTAAGGCAGCCTGCGAGACAAGACCCAGGGCAAAAATGTTTTAAATAAAGAGAAATAACTGAAGGGGACTCAATCACACTGGTTTTAATACACTCTTGTATTTTTGTGTACTGCACTGATGGACAGCAACAAATTACATTTATTTAAGTACAATTTTGAGGTATCTGTACTTTACCTGAGTATAATGATTTAGTGCTACTTCATACTTTGACTTCACTACATTTTAGTAGCAAATATTGCACTTTTTACTCCACTATATTTATTTTATAACTTTAGTTACCAGTTACTTTTCAGAACCAGATTAATACAAAAATGTAAGTAAAATCAATAGACTTTATTGATCTCTGGTGGAAAATCCACACACTACCCAGCAACCATTCAAATTATAAGCTTATATGCTAGTTAACCTTTAATGTTGCACCTTTACCAGCTGCAACATTAAATATAATGAACACAATATTGCATCAGTCATTATAATCCAATAATATCATATACATTAATATTAAATGTGCTTCCCTGCAGAATGACTACTTTTAGTAATTAAAGTATATTTTGATGCAAATACTTTTGTACTTTTACTTGAACATTTTGAGTGCAGAACCTTTACTTGTAACAGAGATTTTTGTTGTTGTTTTTTTACACTACTGTATTGGTACTTCTGTTTAGGTGAAGAATCGATCTGAGTAGTACTTCCACCACTGGTGTGTGACGGTCAGTCTGTGACAGGGCTTCAGGACACAGTGTTAGTTTGCTTTGACCCAAACCACATTAACAGTTTCTTTTTTTGACCTAAACATATAAGCAACAGTGTTCAGATCAGAAAAATATTTTTCATACAGTAGAGTGGCTACATTAGCAGCATGGCTAACCAAACAACGGAAACTAATAGGCTGGGACTGTGAACAAAGCCGCCGACATCGGCTCGCCCCAGCGTGGCCCTACCACTATCGCCACCC